ATACTAGGGTCTGGACGTCAGAGGAGACAGATCGGGCTCCACCTCCTGGTTATACAATCCTAGTTGGACATCAGGGGGAACAGATGGGGCTCCACCTGCTGGTTATAAAATCCTAGCTGGAGTTCAGGGGAACAGATCAGGCTCCACCTGCTGGTTATAAAATCCTAGCTGGAATTTAGGGGTGCCATATTGGGCTCCACATGCTGGTTAGAAAATCCTAGCTGGACTTTAGGGGACACAGCTTGTTATAAGACCCCTGGACTTTCGGGGTCACAGATAGGGCTCCACCTGCTAGTTATAAAATAATAACTGGACTTTAGGGAAGACAGATCGGGCTCCACCTGCTGGTTACATAATCTTAACAAGACTTTAGGGGAGACAGATAGGGCTCTGTCTGCTGGTTATAAAATCCTAGCTGGATTTCAGTGGAGAGATATCAGGCTCCACCTGCTGGCTATAAAATTCTAGCTGGACTTCAGGGAGACAAATCGGGCTCCACCTGCTGGTTATAAAATCCTAGCTGGATTTCAGTGGAGAGATATCAGGCTCCACCTGCTGGTTGTAAAATCCTAGCTGGACGTCAGGGGAGACATATCAGGCTCCACCTGCTGGCTATAAAATTCTAGCTGGACTTCAGGGAGACAAATCGGGCTCCACCTGCTGGCTATAAAATTCTAGCTGGACTTCAGGGAGACAAATCAGGCTCCACCTGCTGGTTATAAAATCCTAGCTAGACTTCAGGGGAGGCAGATTGGGATCCACCTGCTGGTTATAAAATCCTAGCTCGACATTAGGGGACACAGATAAGGCTCCACCTGCTGGTTATAAAATCCTAGCTGGAGTTTAGGGGCCACAGATCGGGCTCCACCTGCTGGTTATAAGATCCTAGCTGGACTTCAGGGGTAACAGATTGGGCTTCATCTGCTGGTTTTAAAATCCTAGCTGGAATTTAGGGGAGACATATCGGGCTCCACCTGCTGGTTATAAAATCCTAGCTGGACTTCAGGGGAGACATATAGGATTCCACCTGCTGGTTATAAAATTCTAGCTGGACTTTAGGGGGGGGAACATATCGGGCTCCACCTGCTGGTTATAAAATCCTAGGTGGACTTGAGGGGAGACAGATCGGGCTCCACCTGCTGGTTATAAAATAATAATTGGACTTTACGGGAGACAGATCAGCCTCCACCTGCTGGTTATAAAATCCTAGCTGGACTTCATGGGGAATTGATCGGGCTCTACCTGCTACTTATAAAATCCTAGCTGGACTTTAGGGGAGTTAGATCAGGCTCCACCTGCTGGTTATAAAATCCTAGCTGGATGTTAGGGGACACACATCAGGCTCCACCTGCTGGTTATGAAATCCTAACTATACTTTAGGGCAGACATATCATGCTTCACCTGCTGGTTATAAAATCCTAGCTGGACTTTAGGGGACACAGATCAGGCTCCACCTGCTGGTTATGAAATCCTAACTGCACTTTAGGGCGGACATATCGTGCTCCACCTGCTGGTTATAAAATCCTAGCTGGACTTTAGGGGGGGGGACATATCGTGCTCCACCTGTTGGTTATGAAATCCTAACTACACTTTAGGGCGGACATATCGTGCTCCACCTGCTGGTTATAAAATCCTAGCTGGACTTTAGGGGGGGACAGATCAGGCTCCACCTGCTGGTTATAAAATTCTAGCTGGACTTTAAGGGGGACAGATCAGGCTCCACCTGCTGGTTATAAAATTCTAGCTGGACTTTAGGGGGGACAGATCAGGCTCCACCTGCTGGTTATAAAATTCTAGCTGGACTTGAGGGGACATAGATAGGGCTCCACCCCTATATCATAATCCTATTAGGGTTATGAAATCCTAACTACACTTTAGGGGAGACAGATCGGGGGTGGGGAGGGCAGGAGATCGACAGGGCTTGAAGGTGGATTTCCCGTTTCAAATGAACTGAAGTATTTTTACACAGGTGAGAGAAACTGCTCACTCCTCACCTGGCTCCCATAGCTGCTCTCCCTTGGGGGGCAGGGGCAGTGGGAAGAAAGAAAATCTGTTTTTACAGACGCCGCCTCAGTCGACCTCCCGCCCGCCCACCTCCCGCCCACTTGGCACAGGGAGGGCAGCTTGGCGGGCGTCGTGACCCGAATGCAAAGCGATCGGAGGAGCAGGAATCTCCTCAGAAAAAGCCTGCTCCAGCTCCACTTCGGCCCCCACACACAAAAACTTCCACCGACCCACAACACCGTAAAACCCGCTTCGCTTTCTAAACTGCATGATCCACACACACGCAGCACCATTCTCTCACCTTCCGAACGCCGAGGCAACACTGCAAATTCCACCCGCGCTACCGCCTACGTTGGGCGGGCCGCCACGTCCCTGCGCGAGGCAGGGCGGCGCATTGGCGTTCCCGCGCCGCCTCACTCCCGGCGCAGTGGCCCCACCTCCTCTCACGCCCTGCGCGCAGGCCTCGCCCCGTCCCACGCGGCTCAGAGGCCCGCTCCGCCTCACGTAAGGTGCGACGGCCCCGCCTCCTCCCACGCTGGCTTGACGCCAGAGGCCAGATGGGCGCTCCTCCCCCTGCTGGCCGGGGCGGGCACAGCAGCAATCCGCTCTCACAGGCGGTGACGAGAGCGGCAAGCGCCCCCTCCTGGCTATGCTGTGGAACCAGTTAAATTCCAAGTTTAGAGTATTCAGTGCCAGAATCTGGAAATTCAAAGTGAGATGGGGCTTGCCATCCTGTGTCTTTTAGAAAAAAGGTGAGGGAAGGAAGAATTAAGTGGGAAACATATGTAATTAAATAAGTGTATACATTAACTTTACAGCTTCCACAAAAAATTCACTCAAAATAGTCCTCAGACTTAAAATGAAAACTATAAAGATTCTAGAAAAAAACCTAGGTGACCTTGGATTTGGTGATGACTTTTAACAGACATGCCAAAAGCTGAGCCACAGTAAAAAAATAATTCCATGGATGTAAAATGTATATTTTGTGAAAGACCATGTTCAGAGAATAAAAACACAAGCATCAAGGCTTACAGGAAATATTTGGAAAATACATATCTAGAGAAGAATTTATATTAAAAAATATACTAAGAACATTTAAAAATCAATATGAAGACAAACCAATTAAAAATGGGTAAAGATCTGAACAGATACCTCAACAAAGATACACAGATGGCAAATGATCATACAAAAAGATGCTCAACATCATATATCATTAGGGAATATCACATGACAAGAACGATGAGCACTGTATACCTTTTAAAATTGCTAAACTCAAAAACATGACAAACCATTGCTGGAGGAAAACACAGGAACTCTCATTCATTGCTGGTAGAATGCATAATGGTACAGTCCCTTTGGAAGACAATGTAGAAGACCAGAATATGCCACCCCAAAATATGACTGTAGAAGACCACAATAGACCACCCCAAAATATACCTCTCTTTTTTTTTTTTTTTTTTTTTGAGGTAAGGTCATGTGCAGTTACCCAGGCTGGAATGCAGTGGCACGATCACAAGTTACCACCACCTTGAACTCCCAGGCTGGAGCAATCCTCAGCCTCCCAAGTAGCTGGGACTACAGGCATGTGCCACTGCACCCAACTAATTTTTTTTTTTTTGTACAGATAGGTTCTTGCTATATTGCCCAGGTTAGTCTTGAACTCCTGGCCTCATGTTGGGATTTCAGGCATGAGCCACCATGCCCAACTCAGCATAAGGATTATTTTGAGCTGATTATTTTGAGAAACTACAGACATAGCAGAAGCTCTCAAAACAGGGTAGATATTTACGTCTATACCTCCATTTGTATACCAAGAAGAGGATAACCAAATCATGGGAGATCCTTATCAATGCAGAAGGCACCACTTAAATCTGAACAACAAACCTTGTTCTTGTTTACCTTGTTTTTCCAGGTTACCTCCCCACTACTGGCTCCCACAACACCCATTCTTTATTTGTTTCAGTTGAAAATAATATGTAACCCTGAACTCAAAGCCACCTCTTGGAGATTTACTCATTTTTCCTGGGTATTTCCCATGCATACATAAAGAAAACATTATTCCATTGTACTTGTTAAAGCATGGTAACATAAACTAAAATAAAATCCCAAGCCCCATGCCTACTGAACTGACACCCTCTTAGCCATGTAAACCTCAGAAAAACCTTAAAAATGAGTTCCAGGAGTTTAGATACAATTGACCAGCATTAATGTTATGGAAAAAAAAACAGAGATCATAAGACTAACAAAACAGATTCTTTGTGACAATAAGATACTAATTAACAGGACCCTAACCTGAACCCAACCCCTAACCCTTTGACTCCTGCCCCCTGACTTCTAACCCCTGACTATTGACTTCTAATGCCCCACCCCAACCATTGTCTAACTTAATTCTAACTGTACTACAAAGTTAAACCAATGCCCAATTTGAATTTTAACCTGATCCTATTTTCAAGTGTTTTGCAACCATAATTCACATTTTCACCTGATCCTCAATTCTTGTCCTTTTCCCCTATTTTCAACTTCTCTGTAATTTAACCCTGAATCAAACATTATTTTTAACACTCTCCCTAACCCTTCATTGCCTTTCTTGCATAGTCTAACACTTTGTCCTACCTTCATCCTAAAACCTCATCCCAAATCAAGCCTCAATCCACTATCTAGACTTTACCTCATTCTCCCTGACTCTAGCTCTAACTTCTCATCTCTAAATATACCCTGAACTCTTACAGCCTCCTGAAACCTCATCCATTCCCAACCCCAACCTCAGGAAGCTTTACCCTTCCTCATCCTTCCAAGTGTTTGCCCAGATCTTCACCCTGTTCTCTACATGAATCCACACTGGAATTGGAAACAGGACCCAAAAACAACTTACAGAAGTTCCCATTTTCTCTTGAGTCCTCCCAGCAGTGCACCCCCAGCCCACATGGCACATAAGACACGTGGTTCTCACATCCTTGCACATAACAATAGCAGCATGGAGGGGGTTTGGTTTTTAAATTTTTTGCTAAGTTTTTATTTTAATCCAAGGACTTTGGTTCATACAAAATGTCATTGTAGAAACAATAGCAGAATCCAAAGTTTGGCTGATAAATAGTGCTCAGGCAGCAAACTAGTCAATCACACAATTTTTTTTAAGTAGGTCCCAGTTGTGTTGCATGGTTGGGACTTTTTTTAACACTGTTCTTAAATATAAAGTTTTCCAACAAACCTTTGATTTATATCAAATATAATTAAAAATTAACAAATGAATACATTGTATCAAAAGTACGAAGATATACATTTTCATGCACAGACTTGTATATATGTATATATGTATATATTTTACATGCACACATAACTTGTTCAAACTATAGCCACTGCTTGACTGGTTCCAAATGCATTTCAAATTTGGCAACTCACTATGAGATTTCAGGGGAAATATGACACCTTGATAAGAGACAGTACAAATACAAAACCCAAAGTCAGGAAAACAAGACATTATGTCTCCTTTTTCTCTCTTCCACATAGTTTTCATCACTCCTAATGCCTAGAAGATTCCAGACAAGCTAGCTAGGCTGTGTGGGTCTAGAAAAGAGGATTCTGGACCAAATATGGCCCAGGGAAACAACTGTGGTTCTGCACAGAATGGACACACTGGACACCCAAGATAATATGGGTAAGAGGTGAGGGGAACGAGAGACAACACATCAGTATAAAATACACGTCCTTCTACTTTGCAACATAAGCACAGCAATCACATGCACAGTCCAAGATTCCTGTTTAATTTTATTCTATTGGAATAAAATACTCTATTATCTTTAACGTTTCAGAGTGTTGTGCCTTCATGTAAGGAAATTCTATAAAAAGGTTTGGTCACAATCATGCTGAAACCCGAGACCAAGTGGCGGTCTTGTGTGTCATATTTCTATTAAATGTGTGTCTTTTGTTGCATAGCCCTATGGGTTAATGACATCCACTCACTGAACACACCACCACACACACCACATATCCCGAGAGCACAGACACACGCACACACACATCACACAGTTTCTCTGAGAGGATTCATGGAGTGGAAGCCAAGAATCCAACAAAGAGATCATAAAATTTCAAAATGTGGAGGAATCAACTTGTCTAAATGCTGTCTTTCTTCATAACACAGGGGGTCTCCCAGCGTTCGGTGCACAATGAACAACGTCCTGAGTATGGTTTCCCCCTTTTGAGAGTGGCCATGAGGTTAGATTTCATTTTGCTGCCTGCTCCAGGACCAGTGCGGGGCCCAACCTCAGCTGGGGAAGCCAGTTTCCCTCCATCAATCACCTGCTCTGAGTTTCAGCCAGGGCTCCCTCCCTACTGCCCTGGTGCCCCACATCCCACCCCCCGGTTCAGCGTCTCCCTCTTCCCTACTAGCCTGTCCCTCCCTTCAGGATTATGTGGAAAGAGACTTGTTTCACACACAACAGAGATTATGCTCTACTCGGTAGGCACCCATCCCTGAGAATCAGATACAGAACAATTGAAAACGCCTCACACAAGCACACGGTCTGCTGCTCTGAGCTTCCCCGGGAACCCTTCCCTTCAGGGGAGGAAGAAGCCAATGGTTACCATGTTTCCAACCATAGTGTCCTGCTGCATCTCGTCTCATGTTCTCCACTGAGATCAGCTTTTTACCCAGTTGCTGTTTTAATTGTTTTCACAAAACCCACCCGTGGCGGTTCCCAAGGCCTCCCTCACACCACGATGCCCAGGAGCCTGGTGCGTGAGGGCCTTGAGGTCAGGCACTTGGTCAAGAGCAGCAGGGGCCCAGGTCATCTGCGGGGCCACCTGGACTGGACAAAGTCTATGCAGGAGCATCTCCTCACACAGGTCACAAAAACACACAATGAGAAATTGACACCTTTCTATAGGTGTGATTTTTCAGAGTTATGTTACTGTTTCCTTCCCATTTTTCTGGTTTTCTATTTTTTTCTAAATAAGTATATAGAAGTGACAAAAAAGTGAATGGTGTTGTGAGTAAAAACCAAGACCAACAGCAGGAACACTTTCCAGATTTGGTCCCTGTTGGGGTTGACAGTGTCTGGGGGGAAGGACAGAGAGCATCTGACTGTGTTTCTAGTGAACATTTGCTGTTCAAGTACCAAGAACAGCAAGGACGTGTGTGTGTTGGTGCCGACAGGGCTGTGCAGGGCCTCAGCTGGGCTCTGAGGCCTCGCCCTGCTCACCACTGACTCCACCCGGAGGCCTTGCCATGATTTTAGGCATGCCCTACTGCCCTAGACCACACGTCTGGACACACAGGGCCCCCCACAAGATTTAGACCTCCTACAAAAGGGCCCAAGCACCCACGCTGGATGCTAGAGTCCACGACACAGGATTTGGACTTGCTGGGGAGTCCTCAGCCACACTCAGCAACTTCCTGTTCAGGATCTGATGTGTGGTTGAGACCCAGGAAGGCAGCACACGACGGGCAGAAAGAGCCATATCCCTCCAGAAAGGGCTTTATTGATCCATCCAGTGCAAAAGAGGAGGGCTGGAGAGAAGCTCCACCGAGGGGTGAGACCCCTCCTGCCTGGGGCTGTCCCCTCTTGCCGCTCCTGAGCATCCCTGGGAGCCCAGTGTGGATGATAAAACTCACCCACTGGGACACACCTGCCGTGTGCAGGCACAGGGCGGTCTCGGTGCAGCTAGCACCAGTGGTCTTGGTCAGGGTGGTGGTAGCTGTGCCGCGCCCTGCTGCCCGAGCCGAGTCCCAGAGTGCAGTGGTAGCCGTTGGGCACGCGGCGGAGGGGGTGTGACTGGGAGGTCAGCGAGGACACATAGGAAGTCCTGGAAGAGCGGCCCGAGTTGGTGGCCACGGCCTCCTCGAAGGTCAGTGTGTCCTCAGGCAGGGTGTGGGCAGAAGCCTCACTGTCCAGACGCTGCCCCAGGTAAGGGTCGGAGCCGATGCGAGAGCCAGGGGCCAGGGGCTGGCTGAGGGGGTCTCTCTGCAGCAGGGCGTTGTGTTCAGAAAGGCCGCGGCTGAGCCGCCCAGGGGAGAAGGCTGGGAGGCTGGTCTGAGCCCCGGCGAAGTGGATGGGTGAAGAGTTGGCCGTCTTGTAGGTGATGCTGGGGCGGGGGGTCGGGGGGGTCTGGGGGAGCTGCCTCCGCCCACCACGGCCTGGGGTGCTAGCACCAGATGTTGACAGCAAGGGGCTCCCATTAACTGAACCACTGCCCTACATGAAAATGGAGCAGAGCCAATTCAGAAATAGAAGCCAAACCACACAAGAACAGAGCACAGTGGTGGGCGGGGACACAGAGGAGCTGACAGGGAAGCATGAGGGACAGCGGGGTGGCCCTAGGGTGGCCACATGTGTGCAGGGGAGGCAACAGTCCCTGCAGTGGGGTGGAGGGAAAGGGAGGGAAGGGCCAGGCCAGCAGGGAGGAGAGCTCAAAAGCACTAAGGGTTTGCAGCCAGGCCCCACAGCGACAGACACAGAACCCCCGTTCCAGAGCCAGCAAAGGGAGGAGCCCGGCAGGGACATGGCAGGGCTGGGCACAGACAAGGGCACAGCGGGTGCTCCTGGCCCTCAGGGTCCTGGGAGGCCCCAGGCAGGGGAGGAGCTGCCAGGCCTAGCCTCCCCACCAACCCCAACTCACCTGTGGGTGGGGTCCCGGTTCCTGGCCAGCTGTCGGTGACGTGGGATGGCTGTTGAGGGAGGGCTTGGGTTTTGGTGGCTCGCGGCCCCCAAAGCGGTCACAGGAGTAGAAGCGCTGCTTCTCCGAGGAGGAAGAGGATGGCTGCCTCCGCTCCTGGGACCGGCCCCGCTCCTGCCTACGCTCCCGCTCCCGCCGGCAGCCTGCAGGCCCCTCTCCAGGGGGCAGCCCCGGCCCTGCAGCACTGCTGGGTGCTGGCCAGGGAAAAGGATAAGTCAGCACAAGAGCCCAGGGAAGGGAGAGAGACCCTGACCCCAGACCCAGTCCCCACAGGGCCAGCGAGGCAGACCTTGGCAGTGTCAAGGGAGGGTGGGCTGGGCAGGTGGTCCTGTCTGCTCCCACACCTGCAGCTCATGCCCCTCCTGCTCTGGGAGGGTGACAGGGACATGAGGGAGGACACAGGGAAGAGTCCCCTCGGGCTGCTTGGATCCCAGACTGAGGCCATAGCCCCTCGAGAGGCTCCTGGGCCCCGCGGCACGCACCGCCATCTGCATCAGCAGACAGGCTGGGCCCTTTCTCCAAGGGCCTCTGCTTCTTGTCCCTGCGACGATGGCAGCGGTGGTGGTGATGGTGTGGGGCCTGGCTGGGGGGTGGGCGGTCCAGGGCAGTGCTGCAGAGATGGGCCCCGTGGGGGCGCTGGGCCAGCGTGGAGATGGAGCGTTTCATGGGGCTGGCGTCCGGCACGGGCTGCAGGCAAAGCACACGAGGGAGGTGTAGGCCTGAACGTGGGCCTGGGGGAGCACCAGGTCAGCCAGCAAGGCAGGTATGGGCGGCTAGGAGCAGTTAGTTCAGCTTCCACAGGAAGGAACCAGGACAGGCTAGGGGTCCCGCTGCCCGACACTGCAGGGACAGGCCGGGCCCAGGAGTCCTCCAGGTAGGCAGCTGCACCACCCAGCTGTCGGCTGTGTTGTAAGCATCCTGAGTGGGGGCCTGCAGGTGCCTTGCCAGTTGCATGGGGGGTGGCGGGGGAAGGGATGTCACTTTGCCCAGCCTGTCTGGGGTGGGCTGGCCAGTGAGGCTGCCCCCAAGGCAAAAGTCAAGACCCATGGAGCTGAGCCCCCAGGTGAGCTCACCTACAGACCTACGTGTTCGTGTGAGAAGGAAGAGGCTCCAGCACAGGCTGGAGGGAGGGGCGGCCAGGCCTGCACCACAAAGCTAGGCGACACTGGGGAGGGCACCGCAGGGCGGTGGCAGAGACATGGGAGGGAGGACTGGTGGGAAGGGGAGAAAACTGAGAGAGGAAGGAAGGACAATGAGGAGAGGAAAAGGCATTGTTGGTCACAGTAGTGAAAATGAGGACATTAGCAGGTAAAGTTCAAATTAAATGTCCACAGCCAGGGACAAAGCGGGGAGCAGGAACACCCAGAGGGCTCAGCGTACTCCTGGCTACACGAGAACTGCCCTGGAGATCCAGGCTGCAGATGCTGCAGACCCGGCAGCCCTCAGCTACTTCACAGGTGTGAGCACAGTGTTCCCAGAACAGCCCTGGATGGGCAGACTTCCCCACGTCCTGGGGGAAGAAGCTTGTCCCAGGAACAGAGCTGCAGGCCGCCCTGTGCCAAAGCCTCTTGCTCCTCAGTCTAAGGTGCCACATGAAGAAGCCATGCCAGCACACAGCCAGGTGGCAAACATGGTCTAAGGACTGCCAGGGAGGGGCCTCCCCAGCGACCCAGGCGGGACAGTCCTCACTGAGACCTGGGGCATGATTTTCAGGATCAGGATGGTAGTGAAAAAGGAAGATAGAAACAGGGTGTACAGATCTGGGAGAAACCAGAGCTGTGGGGGCCAGAACCAGGGGGACCAGAGCTGGGGGGGGGCAGAGCTAGGGAGGACCAGAACTGGGGACCACTATCACAAGGCATCCTACCAGAAAAGAAAAATAAAAAAAAAAAAAAAAGAGAAAAAAAAAAAAAAAGAACAGATGGACCAAACTGGGGGACCAGAGTGGGAGAAACAAAGCTAGAGCACCAGACAGGGGAACAGAGCTGGAGGAAACAGAGCTGGGGGAGCAAGCAGGGCACCAGAGCTGGGGACAAGTGGGAGCACCAGAGCTGGGAGCACCAGAGCTGGGGGGACCAGAGCTGGAGGGGACCAGAGCTAGGGGAAACCAGAGCTGGGGGGACCAGAGCTGGGGGGGACCAGCAGGGAAACCAAGTGGGAGGACCAGAGTGGGGAACAGAGCTGGGAGGGGACAGAGCTGGGGACAGAGCTGGGAGCACCAGAGCTGGGGAGCACCAGAGCTGGGGGGACCAGAGCTGGGAGGGACCGAGCTAGGGAACAGCGCTGGGACAGAGCTGGGGGGACCAGAGCTAAGGGAACCAGAGCTAGGAAACCAGAGCTGGGGGGCACCAGAGCTGGGGGGAACCAGAGCTGGGAGGGGACCAGAGTGGGACCAGAGCTGAGACCAGAGCGGAGGGACCAGAGCTAAGGGAACCAGAGCTAGGGGAAACCAGAGCTGGGGGGGACCAGAGCTGGGGGGGACCAGAGCTAAGGGAACCAGAGCTGGGGGAAACCAGAGCTGGGGGGGACCAGAGCTAAAGGGAACGAGACTGGGGAAACCAAGCTGGGGGGACCAAGGCTAGGGACAGAGTAGGGAAACCAGAGTCGGGGGACCAGAGCTGGGGGACAGAGCTAAGGAGACAAGCTGGGAAACCAGAGCTGGGGGACCAGAAGCTGGGGGACCAGAGCGGGGGGACAGAGCTAGGAACCAGAGCTAGGGAAACGAGATGGGGGGGAACAGAGCTGGGGACCAGAGCTGGGGGACGCAGAGCTGGGAGGCAGAGCTAAGGGAACCAGAGCTAGGGGAAACCAGAGCTGGGGGGGACCAGAGCTGGGGGGAACCAGAGCTGGGGGGACCAGAGCTGGGGACCAGACTGGAGGGACCAGAGCTAAGGGAACCAGAGCTAGGGGAAACTAGAGCTGGGGGGGACCAAGCTGGGGGGGACCAGAGCTGCAGGGGACCAGAACTGAGGGACCAGAGCTAGGGGACCAGAGCTTGGGGGGACCAGAGCTGGGAGGGGACCAGAGCTAAGGGAGCCAGAGCTAGGGGAAACCAGAGCTGGGGGGGACCAGAGCTAGGGGAAACCAGAGCTGGGGGGACTAGAACTAGGAGAGGACCAGAGCTAGGAGGGATCAGAGCTGAGGAACGCAGAGCTGGGGAACTAGAGCTGGAGGGGACCAGAGCTGGGGGGACCAGAGCTGGGAGGGACCAGAGCTGGGAGGGACCAGAGCTGGGGAATAGAACTGAAGGGACCCGAGCTGGAGGGACGCAAGAGCTGAAGACCAGACTTGGGGGACACTTAGCTGGGGGACGCGAGCTGGGACTAGAGCTGGGAGGGATAGAGCTGGGGGACTAGAACTAGGAGGGACCAGAGCTGAAGGTGCTAGAGCTAGAGGGATCAGACTGAGGGAACAGAGCTGGAACTAGAGCTGGGGGAACTAGAGCTGGAGGGGACCAGAGCTGGGGGGACCAGAGCTGGGAGGGACCAGAGCTGGGAGGGACCAGAGCTGGGAGGGACCAGAGCTGGGGAGGACTAGAACTAGGAGGGGACCCGAGCTGGGAGGGGACCAGAGCTGAGGGAACCAGAGCTGGGGGGAACTAGAGCTGGGGACCAGAGCTGGGGGGACTAGAGCTGGGAGGGATCAGAGCTGGGGAGGACTAGAATAGGAGAACCCAGAGCTGGGAGGGACCAGACGCTTGAGGGAACCAGAGCTGGGTAGGACCAGAGCTAGGGGGACAGGCATGAGAGGGACCAGAGTGGGACTAGAGCTGGGAGGATCAGGAGCTGGGGAGACTCAGATACAGGAGGGGAACAGGCTGGGAGGGGACCAGAGCTGAGGGAACCAGAGCTGGGGGGAACTAGAGCTGGGGGGACCAGAGCTGGGGGACTAGAGCTGGGAGGGATCAGAGCTGGGGAGGACTAGAACTAGAGGGGACAGAGCTGAGGGGACAGAGCTGAGGGAACCAAGCTGGGGAACTAGAGCTGGGGACCAGACTTGGGGGAACTAGGCTGGGAGGGAATCAGACTGGAGGAGGACGTAGAACTAGGAGGGACCAGAGCGGAGGGACCAGAGCCTAGAGGAACAGAGACGGTGGGTAGGAACCAAGCTAGGGGAACCAGAGCTGGGGGGAACTAGAACTAGGAAAGAGACCACAGACTGAGGGAACAGAGCTGGGGGGGACTCTAGAACTAGTAGTGAACCAGAAGCTGGGGAGCGACACAAGCTGGGGGAACTAGACATGGAGGACTGAAGCTAGGAAGGAGGAGAGTTAGCGGTCAGAGTGGGAACAGAGCTGGGGGAACTAACTGGAGGGACCAGAGCTGGGGACCAGAGCTGGAGGGACCAGAGTTGGGAGGACAGAGCTGGGAGGACTAGAATCAGGGACCCGAGTGGAGGGACCAGAGCTAGGAGAACAGAGCTGGGGAACTAGAGCTGGGGGGGAGAGCTGGGGGGACTAGAGCTGGGAGGGATCAGAGCTGGGGAGGACTAGAACTAGGAGGGGACCAGAGCTGGGAGGGGACCAGAGCTGAGGGAACCAGAGCTGGGGTAGGACCAGAGCTAGGGGGAACCAGAGCTGGGGGGACTAGAACTAGGAGGAGACCAGAGCTGGAGGGAACCAGAGCTGGGGGGGACTAGAACTAGTAGGTGACCAGAGCTGGGAGGGGACCAGAGCTGGGAGGGGACCAGAGCTATGGGGACCAAAGTCAGAAGGTCCAGTAATGGAGCACCTAGGCTGAGTGTCCTCACAGGAGTCTGAGAATGGTGTGCACTGGAGGTGTCTTTGCCCACCTGGCTGTACCTGGCAAGACTAGTACCACATCCAGGGTGCCCAGTGGGGCTGAAGGCATCCAGGCTGCCCAGGGGTGCACGCCCCTCCCTTGCAAAGAGCTCAACAGTTGAGACATAGCCCTCGCCACGCCCAGGTCTCCTCACCCTCAGGATGCCCATGGCCATGCCCCCCACCTCCACCCCACAGCCTGGACTCCTCCCAGACCACTCACCTGAGTCTCTGCCGCCAAGCGGGGCATAGAGGCGGCACGGCCCTGGCTCTCCAGCCCAGGCTGGGGGTCCCCATCAGGGCCCCTCAGGGCCATGCTCTGCATCTGGACATCCACAGCCTGGAGTAAACAGCATCATCCCAGTCACACCTCGCCGGGCACTCTCACCCCACCTCACACCCACCACCCCTGGGAGTGCTCACCAGTGCTCCTGGCTGCGCCATGGGGATCTCTGTTGAGTGGCCACGCTCCAGGGGTGCCCTCACCTCACAAGGTGCATCCTGGGTCCGCTGAGTGCCCCAGGACACGGACTCCTTGATGCCACTCTCTTGGGTTTGTCTGTGGAAGAGACGGGAGGGATGTCCTGTAGGGTCAGAGCCCCATGGCCTGCAGAATGCCCAACCAGCAACCTGGCACTCCAGCCTGCTAGGAACCTCCACTGGCCTCACTCTCCGCAGAGGCTGGGGGCCAAGTCCCCACGTTCTGGACTAGATTGAGCCCTCCCTTGCACACAGGAGCACCAGCATGGTCTGTGCATGCTGGACCCAAGCAAGGGCACATCAGAGGACGTGAGCCCAAGACACGGAGAGCGGGACAGGATTCAGAGTGGTGGTGAAGATGCCCGGCTGCCCTGGCAGGGCCGCAGGCCGGGCACCTGCAGTGCTGCAGTCTGTGGGAGGCCTGGGCCCGTCGCTCCCTGGTCTAGGGACATTTAGTAAGTTCCTCGGCCCTGGACAGGAGCTCACCTGAGCAAAGGAGGGCTGTGTGTGCAAAGCTAAAGAAACCCTCCTACGCTGATGTGTGGTGAAGGAAGCTATCAGGGAGGTGAGAGGCTGCGGGACTCCCGGGGTGGAAAGTAATCGCTGCCATAAGGAAACCCAAATCAGTTGATCTCAGTGCTGTTAGAAAAGTGAGGTAGACAAGGCACCTTTCTAATGTAACAGGAATTAACTTTAACATCCACCCCAGAAACCCTGCAAACAAAAAAACCACTGGCAGCAGCAAACCTTCAACTAACTTTCTGGCAGAACAGACAGCGAGACATCTGGGTGCACCCCTGGGTGGAGGTGGGCATGGGTCGACCCTGCACCAGTCCCTGAGAACTGAGGTGTGCCCTGAGGCTCTGTCCTTGGAGACCTGGCTGGGGTTCCAGAAGCGTGCTCAGGTGGCAGATGAGCCCTTCAGGTGTCCCAAGCTGATGAAGTCAGATGTAAGCAGGATGAGGGACAGGGAGGTCGAGGAAATGGGATTTCTGCTCCTTCCCTTCACTGGCTTTGGGCCCCTTCCCATCCAGCCCTGCCCTGCGTCAGGTACTCCAGGTACTCACACAGCTCCACCATTGCTGAGGGAGGTGGAACTTTTCTGCCGAAGGAAAACACGGGCTCCTCGGAGCACAGCTGGCTGCGTCTGCTCCAGGGTGGCCTTCAGAGGGTGGAACAGGGACACGGGGCCCATCTGCAAGAGGGGCAAGGGGAGGAGGAAGAGCTCTGAGGGCCAAGGGAGTCAGGCCCTGACAGGACCACAAGGTGGCTTCAGGGACGCACTCTGATCACACAGCACGGGACAGAAGTCAGTTCCAGTCCAAGCCCAGCATCAGAGCTCCTTACCTTAGTGCAGGGCTACGTGCTCTCTGTTCCTACCCTGTCCCTAAGTACAAGCATTCAACCAGGGCAGTGAGGCAGACCCTCATGGCCTCTCCTCACACCCTTGCCTGTAAGTGACCTGAGGAAAGCCATGTCACTTCTCAGAGGCTCAGTTTCCCCACATTAGGGAACTGGACCAGATTCCAGATGGCAGAAAGATTTCAGCTCATCATCAACCTGAATTGCTTGGTAGGGGCTTCTGGAAACACCAGGCAGAGCAGAACTCTGATATTTCGGGTTGGGGCAGACTCTGAGATGGACTAGTGCCGAGTGCCCCCGTCACGGGAAGGGAGGGGGTGGCATAAACACCAGACATTTTCCATCCCAGGGCTGGATGAATGTCCCTGGGAGCTCTGAGCATCTGCCTAGACAACTTTCTCGACAGAAACCCCACATGTGGTCACTGAAGTACAGCTATGTGTGAAGGTCCTTATCGTTGAAGGATGATATCAGGAAGGTGGGTCCCCAAACCATTCCAGCCAGAGTTATGAATAGAAAAAATAATGACCCTGGATCTATCAGAAAACAGGTCCTCCTTCCATCTCCCCAAACAATTCTCCCAAAATATTCTTCACATCTTCCTCCCTTCTACCACTTAAAGACAGTGATACTGCCCAGGTCAGCCCCTTATTTTCTGCCCCACACACTTACTAAGTCAGGAGCTCCCCAGCATCACGAGGCAACCAGCTAAGCATGAAGGCTGTGTGAGCTTCTGACTTTGAGAGACAGAGAGGCAGCTTCGAGAATCTCTCATCTTCCTTCTCCTGCCACACTTTCTCCAAAAAGGGTGTGGGTCCCCCACCGTTGTCAAACCACCCAAGGATGCCAGAGTCTCAGAGGCATCAGAGTTACTTTTTGGAAATCATAGAAACCCAGTACCTGGGACAGGCCCCCGGGAGCTTGGTGAATCTGGTCTCTGGTGGTTTTGTTCTGCTTGTAGAAGTCGAATATCATCAGAGCTGCATAGACTTTCCCCACTGTCATCTCGTCGGCTGGAGGACAGAGCAGATAGGGAGAACATGCAGAGGTTGGGGTTTGGAGAAGAAAGAGGTCAGCGAAGCCACAGGAACATGGGGTGGAGGGAGAAGAGGAAATAGCACCCCCCCCAGGAGGACTTCTGGAAACATTCGGGGTGGAGGGCCTCTCAGGCAGAGCACAGGACTCAGCCACAGGAGCTTGGCCTCCCCTGGGCCCCTCCTGGCTGCTCAGACTCTTCAGGAGCCCTCCCATGGCCAGGCTGATGCCCCTCGTTTGGGGCCCTCCCTTCCTATCTCCTCCCAAGACAGTAAGATCGGAGTTAGTACTAGAGATTTTTACAGACAGCGTCTTGCCATGTTGCCCAGGCTGGACTCGAACTCCTGGGCTTAAGCAACTCCCACCTCAGCCTCATGAATTGCTGGGACTCCAGGCACCACCACCTGGCCAGGCATTCGTCTTTCAGTCCCTCAGCACCTCCTCTTTCACATCTCTAACAGTGGGATTCCTCTCTGCCTGCTCTCTGGATTTTTGGAATAGATCCCCACACTAGGAGTGTGAGCAACTCTGCTCAACAGTGACCTTGAGGGCATCATCTCCTGTGGCTCCTATGCTCCCTGCAGGTGGAAGCTAAGTGCAGGGTACTGGGGGGTGAGCCCCCTCTCCAAGGCGACTCACCCTTCACCCCTCACCCCTACACCCCTCTGGCCCCTTCTGCAGCCTCCCTGCCTCCGGGTGGGACAGGAAAAGCTGGGGTGGGGATATTTCTCGCCCTTGAACTTACGCTTATGGGGTGGTACCAGTAAGTCCAGTGTCTTCTGGGGCAGGTTGGCCCACACCGAGGAAATCTCCTTCCTCAGCTCTGCGTCACACTGATGCTGCTTTGTCCCGGCTTGGGAGGACGGGGGGGGGGGGGGGGGGAGACAGATGTTAGCAGCAATCCTGAAGCCCCAGGAGAGACAGATGTTAGCAGCAATCCTGAAGCCCCAGGGCAGAGCGGGGCAGGTGGGAAGGCCTGGTGTAGGCAGAACGTGGGGTGCAGATGGTGCTGGGAGGGGGGCACAGTGGGAAGAAACACAATGTGGAGCCTGCCTGGAGAAGGAGGCAAGCAAGCTGAGCATCCAACTGCTGTGTGCACGTGTGTCTGCACGTGTGCATACACATGTGTGCATGCATGTGTGTCCATCTAGCTTGCATGTGCATGTGTATGCTTGTACACAGGAATTTAGAAGGGATATGGCAGTATGCCACAGGAATTTAGAAGGGATATGGCAGTATGCCACAGGAATTTAGAAGGGATATGGCAGTATGCCACAGGAATTTAGAAGGGATATGGCAGTATGCCACAGGAATTTAGAAGGGATATGGCAGTATGCCAATCATTCATCCATTCATTCAACAGTATTGAGCATCCACTAAATGTCAGGTACTGTTCTAAGCAATGGGACAAAAAAAAAAAGGAAACCCCAAAATTACCCTTCTGGAGTTTATATTACTTTATTCTTCCAATAAAGTAGCAACAAGTTTTTAAACGTCCAGTATGTTAGATGGTGAAAAGTGCCAAGGAGAGGAAAGCAGCCTGGGGAAGGGACAGGAAACACCGAAAGGTCTTATGAGGTCTCCCGAGGACAGGGCACGTGAGCCTTGAAGGCAGCAGGGGCCCCTGAGTGCACAGGCCCTGGAGTGTCACAAAAGGGGAATGAAGGCAGTGCGGTGGGGTGGGTGGGGTGGTGGGAGGCAGGAGACTCAGACCAGAAGCCAGTGGAGGGTTTTGAGCAGAGGAATAAAATGATCGTATTTAATGTTTTTAAACATCAGATTTGTTAAGGTACAATTCACATGCAGTAAAATGCACTCTTCTTAGTTATACTATGAATCTTGGTAAATGCCTATAATTGTGTATCCACCACCATAATCAAAATATGGAGCAATTTCACCACCCCAAATTCTTCCATGCCCCCTTGAGTCCGGCCCCTGGCCCTACTCGCAGCCCACACCAGCACTGATGTGTTTTGTGTCTCTACAGTTTTGTGCCCTTCAGAATGTCATACAACTGGTAGCACACAGTGTGCTGGCTTTTGAATCTGACCCTTTCACGCAGCATGATGCATTTGAGAGTCACCTATGTTGTTGCATGTATCAGTAGTGTGCCTCTTTTTTGCTTAGCACTATTTCATTGTATAGACATATCAAGGTTTGTTTACCCATCACTAGTTGGTGGCTAGATGACAATTTGGGCCAATTATGAACAAAGCCACAAACATTTGCATGCAGGCTGTTATGTGGATGTGCGTTTTCACTTCCTAAATGAGACAGCAGGGTCATATAAGTGACTGTCAACTGTTTTGCAAAGGTACTATGCCATTTTGTGTTCCACCAGGAACACATAAGAATTCCAGGTGCTCTGCCTTCCCACCATCACTTAATATTGACATTTTAAAAGTGTTTTAGCAATTAAAATGGTATGTAGTGGTATTTCATCGTGGTTTTATTTTGGATTTCTCTAATGATTAATACATTGAGCATCTTTACATGTGTTCATTTGCTTTCCATATATCTTCTTTGGTGATGATTGGGTTGCTTACTTTCTTATTGCAGAGCTGTGACAATTCTTTATGCATTATGGATACCAATTCTATATCAAATATGTGTTTAGCAAATATTTTCTCCAAGTCTTATGCTTATATTTTCATTTTCTTAAATGTCTTTTGAAGATCAAAAGTTTTAATTTTGATATAATTCAATTTCTCAGTTATTTTCTTTTATGGTTCATGCTTTTTTTAATCTTAAGAAATCTTTGCCTAACCCAAAGTTGCCAACATTATTCTGTGTTTTCCTATAGAGGTTTTATAATTTTAGATTTTACACTTATGTCTATGATCCATTTCAGGTTATTTTTTGTAGAGGGTGAAAGGTCTGTGCTATGGCTTGAACTGGGCCCTCACTTCGTATGTAGAAGTCCTAACCCCCACATGACTGTATCTGCAGACAGGGCCTACCAGGAGATGAGTAAGGTCAAATGAGATCATAACTGGGGCCTGATCCACACTAGTCCTCACAGGAGACAGCAGGAAACTCACTTTCTCTTCTCTCCCTGCACACTCAGAGCAAAGGCCATGCCAGGACACTGCAAGAAGATGACCACTTACAAGCTGAGAAGTGGCCTCAGAATTAAACCTATCTCACTAGCAGCTTGATCTTGGACTTGCATCCTCCAGAACTGTGAGAAATAAATTTCAGTTGTTTAAACCACCCTGGCTATGGTATTTTGTTGTGGCTGCCTGAGCAGATTAAGATGGTATGAGTCAATAATTTTTTTCTTTTTGCAGATGATTGTCTAAATTTTTCAAGCACTATTTGTTAAAAAGATTCTTTTCTCCATTAACTGCCTTGCAACTTTGTTGAAAATCAATTGCCCAGATCACTGTGGGTCTTTGTCTGGAGTCTCTATCCTATTCTGTTGGTCTATGTCTCTAGCCTCTCACTAATACCTTAATCCATGTTGCCTTCTAGAAAGACTTTTAATCAGGGAAGGTGAGTTTTCCAACTCTGTTCTTCTTTTTCAAAACTGTTGGCCAGGTCCAGTGGCTCATGACTGTAATCCTAGCACTCTGGGAGGCCAAGGTGGGAGGATTGCTTGAGCTCAGGAGTTCGAGACCAACCTGAACAAGAGTGAGACCCCATCTGTACTAAAAATAGAAAAATTAGCCAGGCATCGCAGTACACTCCTGTAGTCCTAGCTACTTGGGAGGCTGAGGTAGGAGGATCGCTTGAGCCCAGAAGCTTAAGGTTGCAGTCAGACACCACGGCACTCTACCCAGGGCAACAGAGCAAGACTCTGTCTCAAAAACAAACAAACAAAAATATTAAAGTTCTTTTGCTTCTCTACACAATTTTAGAATTGGTTTGTAAGTTTTTACCAAAAAAAAAAAAAAGCCTGTTTTGATTTTGACTGGGAAAACATTGATTCTAATGATCAATACAGGGATAACTGGTATTTTAATAACAGTCATGCAATCCACAAACACAATACAGTGCTTAATTTCTCTAAATCTTCTTTGATTCCTCTTACGATATTTTGAAATTTACAATATTCAAATCTTGTGTATATATATTTTTAAAGTTATCCAGCAATGCAGAAATATTTCATATTTTGGTGCTATTTTATTAATAATAGAATTTTTCAATTTCAATTAATTGCTAGTATATAGAAATATAATGTTTAAAAATATATTGACCCTGTATCTTGTTATCTTGCTATACTCACTTATTAGTTTAGTAACTTTTAAAATAGACTCCTTGAGATTTTCTCAAAGTCAAGCCAATTGTGAACAGAGGCAGTTTCATTTCTTCCTTTATAGTTGGCATACCTCTTATTTCTTTTTCTTGCCTTATCACACTGGCTAGGGCAGGGGTCCTCAAACTTTTTAAACAGGGGGCCAGTTCACTGTCCTCAGACTGTTGGAGGGACGGACTATAGTTTAAAAAAAACTATGAACAAATTCCTATGCACCCTGCACATAGCTTATTTTGAAGTAAAAAAAACACATGGGCAAAAACACCCTCATGTGGCCCGCGGGCCGTAGTTTTGAGGATGCCTGGGCAGCTAGGGCCTCAAGTCTGCTGCTGAACAAGCAGACACCCTTGCCTTGTCGTGACCTTAGGAGTTTCGAAAGGAGTCATTCTTTCTTTCTTAAGTACATCAGTTTTCCATCAGTGCCCTTTATCATGTCTAGGATATGATACAACTGAGGAAGTTTCCCTTAGTTCCTAGCTTATGCAGAATATTTTTTATCAAGAATAGATGCTGAATTTTGTCAAATGCTTTTTCTGTGTCTCTTGAGATAATTATATGGTTTTCCTTTTTGGTGTGGTAGATTATATGCATTGATTTTCAAGCATTGAGCCAACTTTGCATTCCTAGGATAAACCTCACTTGTGTTACCATGTATTATCTTTTTTTATTATACTGCTGGATTTAGTTTGCTAAAAAAACTGTGTTGAAGATACTTGTATCTATCCTCATGAGGGATATTGGTCTGTAGGGTTTTTTTGTTTGTTTTGTTTTTTTCCCTTGCCATGTCTTTGTTTGGTTTTTGTATCAGAGTAAATCTGGCCTCATAAAATAAGTTGGGAAATATTCCCTCTCTATTTTCTGGAAGAGTCTGTATAGAATTGCATTATTTCTTCCTTAAATGGTTGGTAGATTTCACCAATGAAAATATCTGGACCTGGAATTTTCTTTGTTGGAAGGTTTTTTCAGCTCTGAATTTAATTTATTTAGCAGATATGGTATTACCGAGGTTATCTTTCTTGAATGAGCTTGGTATTTTGTGTTTTTCAAGGAATTTTTCCATTTCCCTTAAGTTGTTAAAATTGACATAAAGTTGCTTGTAATATTCCCTTGTTATCTTTTCAATGACAACAAGATTTGCAGTGATGTTCCCTGTTTTGTTCCTTACATTGCTTATTTGCATCTTCTTTTTTCTTGGTCAGTCTAGCTAGGGGGTTATACATTTTATCGGTCTGCTTTTTGACTTGATCATTCTGGCTGCGGTGTTGAAGGCAGATGGAAGAGGCAAGGGCAGAAGCAGGTGGGTTGGACTGCTGCTGTAGTGACCCCATCAAGAGCCAACAGAGGCTTGGCCTGGGAGGTGGCAGTGGGGAAAGGGAAAGAAATGGTCATATTCTGGATACATTTAAAGGTAGATTCAAGAAAATATGATAACACATCAGGCATGGATCAGAATGGGATAAGAAAAAAAAAAAGAAGAGAAAAGGAGGACTCCAAAGATTCTGGCTTGAGCAACTGGAAGAACAGAGCTTCCACTGAGCGAGACAGGAGGGCTGTGGGCAACAGCCGGAGCTCAAGTTTGGGCAGGTCAACTCTGGAAAGCTCACTGGGTCTCCAAGTGTAGATGGTGAACAACTTGTGGGATGTACAGGTCTGGATTTCAGGGGAGAAGTGTGGACTGAAAGCACAAAATTGGAGTTCAGGCCTTTCAAACCTATAGGAATAGGATTACAAAGAAGTGTAGATGGCAAAGAGAACATTCTGTGTCATGTAGGCACACTCAAGAGTTTTTTGGGAGATAACAGAAACCAGAAAAACAGACATAAAATCGCCTCAGAAAGGAGGGAGTGAGAACAGAAAAGAGGCTGCGGACGGCCTTCAGGAGCCCAACTGGACACGGGAAGGAAAGACCAGGGACCAGTCTCTCAAAGAGCTGGCTGCTAGGAAGGAAAGAAGAAAAACGGGGAAATTGATAGAAAGGGAAGAGGAACACTTTTTAAAGATGGGAGAAATAATGGCGTGCTTATATGCCATACTTTCTACTGGATGTCATACTTTCTACTGGATATAAATAATCCAGTAGAAAGAGAAAAACGGACAGGGCAAGAAACAAGTATGGAACTGCCGGTGCGGTGTCCTTGGGAGGTTGAGGATGAGACTCGGTGTGCGAAGGGGACTGGCCCTGACTCACGCATGGCAGAGAGACAGCTGAGCTCCAGGGCACAGACTCAAGGGGAGGGTGACAGCAGGTCAGGCCCCCCTTGGGTCCCATCAGTCAGATCAGGAGAGGACCTGATGGGGGACTGAGCTCTCTAGGGCAGGGAGAAGAGGACACACGGACTCGTCACCTGGGAAAGAAGCTGGGACAGGCTGTGTCCTGGCTCCACCACTGGCTCTGAATAACCTAGACAACTGATCAAGTTTCACTGTGCCTCAGTTTCCGTATCTGAAAACGGCTCACATGCAGACCGTTACCAGAGGAGAAAGCCAGTGCTGGACAGTGGCCGTACAGCTGCCTCAGCCCATTCTGGGCAGGGCCGCCCTTCAAGCTGCCCCCTGCATGACTGTCTGGGGCTGGTTCTTGAGGATGGCAGGGGCTTGATGCCTCCCGTCTCCTGAAGCTGCCTCGCTCACCTGGGGCCAGCTTGATCTCCAGCGCAGTCCGGATGAGGGCCATCAGCGTAGACGTGAAGTGGACTGTCATGTCCTCGTTGGAGATGGGCATGTTCATGCGAACGAGACGCTGGGAACAGGTGGAGGCAGGTCAGGGCCAGGCCTACGGGGGAAACCCCACCCAAGGACGACACAGTGCTTGGGGTCCCCGGAGGCTGGGCCTCCCGATGGTGGTCCCTGCAGGTGCCTGGGCCTGAGCGAGGTTGGGTGGTTGGGAGTTTTGCCAGCATTCACGCTCACCCCCGGAACCCCATCCCCATCTGAGCTGAGAATTTTCCTGGCTGCAAAAAAGTAGAAATCCAGGTAAAGATTATGGCATGGGACTAGCCCAGGAGCCTGATCCCTCTGAATGAACAGGCACATCCTCAGTCAGAAGGACCCCTGCCTGTGGCTGAGAAAAGGGTGTGTGGTCTAGCTGAGGAGGGAGGGGGCCCAGGATGGGGCTCCTGGGGGCGGCCACAGACAGAGGGGAGGGACTCTGTCATCACAGCTCTGCCCAGGGCCTCTCTGAGGCCGAGTTCCCAGCAGGACACCCTCATGGGGGACGCCCTGGCTTTAGGCAGGCCCAGCAAGATTTCTGCCTCTCACCACCCAGATGGGGGCCAGGAAGAGACACTCAACGTCACTTGGAGGCAGAGCCCATCTCAACTCATGGCATCAAGAGAAGCCTTAGAGATCAGCTCCTTCTAGCTGGAAGGACCCAGAACAGACGGGACTGCCATGGCCTCAGGCTCAGCCAGCAGCAGTGCAGGGGCTGGTTCAGAGTAGGCCGGGCTGCTGTACTTCAGACCACATGTGGCAGTGTCCTGTAGTGTTGCTCCCATCACCCTCAGGGGGACAGTCCCCTTCTCTCTTCAGGACAGAGTAGCTGGAGACGGGCATGTGTGTGTGCCATGCTCTTCCAGACACAGCCAGCAGCTACCCAGAGTCTCAGGCTCTGAGAACTCACAAGGCCTCAAGGGGAGATGGGTCCCAGGTGCATGTGTGATGTCCTGAGCATGGGGAGGCCAAGTGGAGCCCCAGGAGCACCGTCCACCCTATCTTCTGCCACGGGATGAGAGCTAGACACAGAACTCCTCCCTGGGGACTGTATTCCTCTCCCAAGCCTGCACCTTGCCATCAGCCCCTTCTCTGGTGAGGGCCACACAGCCCTGCCCCAAGCACCCTGGCCCCAAGTCCAGAGTCCTCAGCCTGACAGCTGGGAGGTGGCTGTGGATGTGGGGGAGGGGGGCTGCAGACACGAGCCAGACTCTGTCTCCCGAATGCTGGCAAAGCCCCACTGGACACATCCAATCATGTTCCCAGGACCGCTAACATCACATGTGTGTCGCACACCAGGAAAAACCAAATTCCCAGAGCATGGCATCCCTGCAGACCAGCACCAACAGCAGTGTGAGAGGCCGAGAAATTTCTCTCCAGGAAGGAAAGTTGGGGGTAGGAGTGAAGGGAGAGCAGGCAGGTGACTTCCAAGAAAGGAGAGCTCCATCCAGGCACTGGAGGGCTGCTCGCCATGGGCTCCCGTCTGCCACCCCAATCCCTGAAGGGCCACAAGTCTCAGGGAGAAGCAGAGGGTGAGGCCAGAGCATATAGGCATCTCTGCCGAGTCCTGGACCCTGCCCAGCCCACCCACACCCCACTCTGAGGCTTGGTCTCTTCGCCCAGAACCTCGAAGTCAGCAGAGTCAGCCAGCACAGCTGGGCGGGTGCCGAGGGCTACTCTACCATGGCCCTGCTTGCCGCCTGGCCCGGGTGTCAGGTGGACAGAGCTCTCCTTCCTGGGACAAAGCTGCAGCCTCACATGCAGGGCCTCCAGCAGGCACAACGCGCAGGGCAGGACAGGAACTGAGGACACCAGAGGGGTCCGGTCTGGCACAGAGGAGCTGCTCAGCCCCACGGGCTGCACTGAGTCGGGCAACAAAGACCTAGATCTGGGGTCCAGAGACAGGCAGCAAGCATGGACAGGAGATGTCCACAGAACCAGAGAGCTGGATGCTATGTGGGCAGCTCTCTCAGGCAGAGGGAGCCGCAGAAGGGCTCCAGGCGTGTGCTGGCTGAGCCGCGGGTCATGGATTGCCAGAGAGCATGGGATCTGGGGGGGGGGCTCCTGGGCGAGTCAGGGGCTGGAAGGTGGGGTGTGCTTATGCACTGGGTGGGCCCTATGGTGCGCCTGCCCACCCAGGAGGGAGGCCTGGGGACATCCTTCAGTTTGCTCCCTTCCTTGCAACTTAGCTTCCTGTGGCTCATGGGCCTCCGAGGCTATCCCCATCCTGCAAGGGCCCTCTGAAACCCCCACAGCCCCAGGAATGACTGCAAGATGCCTCTCCCTCGCACCCTTGCTCCTGAATGCCACGGTGCCTCCTTCCCACTGTGGAGCCTGGGAAGCCCCTGCAGACCGCGGCCTGGGCCCAGGGAACCTCTGCACTTGCTGAGCTGGGGACAGGGGTTATGCATAAGTGCCAGAGGCCCTGCACGCTCCAGCACCCACTAGGACCAGACCCAGAGGGCTGGATGACTCTACCTAGGCCCAGGGCTCAGGGGACAGAGCATGTGGGGCATGTCCCTGAGCCCAGAATGGTAACAATCTCTGTCAAAAGAAGGCCTGTCCTCTCATTCCTAAGAAGGAGAGAGAGAGTGAAAGGTCTGGGGGTGGGGGGTGGCTGCCTTGTCTCCCTGAGCCTCTAGGAGGCTCTGAGGGGCCAGTGCACAGACAGCATCCCAGTGGCCATGCCCTGCTGCCTGGGAGGAAGCACAGGCAGGGCGGGGCTGGAGAGGAGACACAGCGAGGCGGCAGGCACGCGCAGAGCGGCAGACAGACAGCCGGCAAGCCCTGCGAGGAGGCCGAGAGCCAGAGGGGCCCTCCGGGCGGGCCAGAACACACAGCCTCCTGGGGTGGGGTGCAGGGTCGGGGTCTACCTTGTACGCAACTCGAGCAGGGCATTTCTTCCCCAGCCCCAGAGGTGGGGACATGTGTTTCAGCATCTCAAACATGTCATTGTAACTGATGCGCCCACTGGAAACCCGTCCCAGAGAGGCCAAGGCACAGGGTCCACAGGAGGAGGCGCGCAGCGGGGGCGGAGCGGGGAGCGGGGCGGGAGGAAGCAGACAAGAAAACAGATCCAGTTAATCAGTGTCGGCAAGACGCCCACAGTCGCGGTGAGATGAGGCTGCTCTGCCTGGCATGACCCTCCTGGCCCCCCGCCCCCGCCTCACCTCCGGCTGGCCCCACGGGGCCGCGGGCAGGGTGACGTCTGGGCTAATGAACATGGAGGGGAGAGGAAGGGCTGCATCGGGGCGGCTTTGGGTTGTTATGTTCTGATTTCACTCTTTTAGAAACCACAGATCATGCCAAATCAGAAAAGAGCTGCTTCACCGCGCCGGCAGCGCCGGCAGGCAGAGTGTGAGGCGGACGGGCCACGGCCGAGGCCACGGCAGAGCACCGGCTTTCCTTAACCGTCAGATTTGCTTCCAAGTGAGGCTAGAGGCTGAACGAGTGGAGAAAAACCTAAAGCCAACCAGAAAACTAGCAGGGAGCCCCAAGGCTCTAGCGCCGAACCCAGCCGGGGGCAAGTCCTGCTCCAAGCCCAGAGACGCCCGAGGCCAGCCCAGGGCAGGGCTGCTGCTGGGGTCAGGGCTGGGCGGGAAATGGGAGGCTGTGGGGAGGGGAGCTGGCAGGATGTGGCCTGGTGCCATTCTTGCACCGGCCCTGACGGCAAGGGGACAGGTTGGGGCCCACATGGAGGAGGAGCCACCAGCACGGGGCCTGGGAACCCAAAGACTCCAACAGCCGAGTCTTCCGGAAGTGGAGAGGCCATCCCGGGACACCTGTTTATCTCCTTGGGTCCCTGACATGCAGCCAGGTGGCCCAGGAGAGAAAGGGGACAGCATTTCCTGACAGTGGATCTGCCCCAGGGCCCTTGCTCCTCCCACAATTCCAGACCAAGGGGCTCCTTGGCTGAGCTGAGCAGACCAATCCAGAGGCAAAGCAGGAGGGCTCCTCTTTGCTTCACACCCTGCCTCTGCCCTCTCTTCCCCCAGGGCCTGGACAGCTGCTGGGTTACTGGGCTCTTCCGACCCTGAGGGGAAGCTGCCGCAGGTGAACCTGTCTCCATATTCCCCTCCTCTGGGGCCCTCAGCCTCTGACTTGTCTGACCATCAGCCCACCCTCAAGAGGTCAGAGGAAAAACTGGGTGAGCCAGCTGCTTCCTTGGTGCAGGTGGGACCTAGCCCCCAGCTCCCCCAGCCAGCTGGTCCTGTCATCACGGCCCAGCCAGAAAGCTTTCTGTGCACTCTCACAAGGATGCCTGTCCCCAGCCAGCTGGAGGGGTCGAAGGGATTAGACAGGGAACCAAAGCATCCAGGAGGCTGGAGTGCGGGGCAGGGCGGGAGGAAAGAGAGGTGAGGTGTTGTCATTCCCAAACCAGGCAGGGAGTGTGTGCTGTGTTTGCATTTCGGGCAGGGAAGTATGTCAGATGGAGGCTCTGAAGTTGCAAACCTTGTAGGCCAACCTACGAGGGCAGTTCTTCCCTAAGCCAACGGGTGGCGCAATACAACGCAACAAACTGTACATATCCTTATAATGAATCCGGCAACTGGAAAGGAAATGTCACAGGTTATGGCAACAAAGGCATGATGGAACCCCTCCCGCCCTCCCTCCCGGCCTGTGATGAGAAGATCTGGCCTTGCGCCGGTGTGGAAGGTGAAGGGTGCACTGGACAGGTGGCACCCTGCCAGGAGACTGGGCTTGGAGCTCCCAGGAGGTGTGGCCATACCAATGTAATTTCTAGAGCCCGATGTAGGCAGGAGACACTCCATACAGAACACCAGTGAGTTCCATACAGGCAACCACATGCCTACACCTGCCGCCCCGCGCCAAGCCCCCAGTCTGCACACTGTGCCGTGGCCAGCGCTGGTCTGTCTCTCCTGCGCCTGCCCACGTGCTCCCTCTCCGCCAGCCCCTCTAGCTGCCTGGGCCTCCAGGCTGGCCAAGGCCCCTCTCCATGTGCCCCTTCCGAGTCCCAGCTCTCCCACCAACACAGCAACCACAGAGGCGTGTGTCCGTGAGCTTTCCGACCATCCCGCTCTCCCTGAGCACACCCTCCCTGGGACACGCCCAGGGCCGGCACCCAAGTCACCACTGACACTTCTCCCACACTGAGCCCCTCGGTCCAGGCAGCTCCAAATGGTGTTGAACATACTTCTGGAGACAGGGACCAAAGAGGAAGCCCCACTTCAGGCTCGCCTGAGGTACTTGCTAAGCTCGCTGGACTGTGGGGACTGACACAAGGGGGCTAGACCCATGTGGGACCCCAGCCTCCAGGACCACCTCCCATGAGACCCAGACAAAAAGTGTGGGACTAACGCTGTCACTCCCAATTCAAGGACTGTCCCCTCTGCCCTCACAAAAAAACAAAGCGACCTGCTCAGCACATTTTAAGTCCTCTGTCTACCTGTCCCAGCCATCCCTCCAGCCGGATACACTCTGCCCAGCCTCCCTCTTTCCTTTGCACCCTCCCCTCAGCCTTCTTGAGCACTCCATCCAGCTGTTCCCTCCAGTTCAGCTCAGGCGCCATGGCCTCTGACTCACCATGCCAGATGTGGTCTCTTGCTCCTCAGAAATGCCTGGGCCTCAAGCTACAGCTGTGTAGCTGCCCCATCGCCTGGCTTGGCTGAGTGCGGAGGGCACGTGCCCATTGCACCTCTGGACTCCTGCCCAGTGCCTGGCAGACGCTCAAGAAATGTTTGTTGGACAGATGGATGAACATAGATATGAGCAGACAGTTTGCTCCAGGAAGTGAGACTGTGACTCCCCCTTTGAGTCTCTATACTTCACCATAAAGTGTTTGTTTGCTTTTTTGAGACAGAGTCTTGTTTTGTTGCCCAGGCTAGAGTCAGTGCCGTGGCGTCAGTCTAGCTCACAGCAACCTCAAACTCCTGGGCTTAAGCGATCCTCCTGCCTCAGCTTCCTGAGTAGCTAGGACTACAGGCATGCGCCACCATGCCTGGCTAATTTTTTCTATATATATTAGTTGGCCAATTAATTTCTTTCTATTTATAGTAGAGATGGGGTCTCGCTCTTGCTCAGGCTGGTTTCGAACTCCTGACCTTAAGCAATCCTCCCCCCTCGGCCTCCCAGAGTGCTAGGATTACAGGCGTGAGCCACTGCGCCCAGCCACCATAAAGTGTTGAAGCAACAACAAAAGGGAGGCTGGGAAAAGGCAGCAGCAGCAATCAACAACTCCATGCCTCCCTAATCAATCCATAGCATGCATGTCCACACATGTGTGCTCACAGGCATGTGCACACAAGCATAAAATGCTCCCATGTCCACACTCACATGGCACATGTGTGTGCACAAGGCCATGCACACAAACAGCTGCACACACCATACATACATGGGTACACACATGTTGCACACATGCATACATATCCACACACAACCACACAGGTATGCACAAACATGAAATTCACTTGCACACAGACATACACATGCACACGGACATACACATACAATTACATGTGCACAAACACGCACATGCAAACATGCCAGTGCCTGTGTGCATGGACCTGTGTGCAAAAACACTCACATTCACACACCTATGCACATGCATGACAGTACGCAATATGAATACATACACATAAACACACATGTGCCATGCACACAGTACACATGTGCTCACAGTGCACACATGCACACAAACACACCCATGTAGATGTACGCACATGCACACGTCTGTGCTTACGTACACATACAGTCACAAAGGTGCACAAACATGCATACATAAAACAGGAAATTTCACAAAGTTTTGTTGTTGTTTCAAAGTTTCTCCCAAAGAATGAGGAGACATCCAAGTGGTCACCTGGGAAATAAAGGTAACCATATCCCTGTATCTGTCATGGACATTACTGAAAGGCTCCAGGTGCTGCCCTGGGCGTGGACCCAGACCCAGTCTGCTCAGATGCGTCTGCATCCCCTGGCACCTGAAGGCAAGCTGTGCGTGAGACCAGGCTGCCAGGGAAGCAGAGTCGCGTGTGCAGCTCACAGGCCACAACTGTGCTGCTTCGAGGCTCGCAGGTCCTGCGTATTATCTTGCAGGCGCCACTTCTTCTATGCTGCTGTCTCCACTTCAACAAGCACTTTCTCTGTCATATCTCTGACTGCCTACGGCTTCCAGAGGGCCTCAGTTCTCAAACTCTGGAGTTTGGGAAGAGTCTGGACCTTTGGTGTGCATGGTAACTGAGCCACAGCCCAGCCCAAGTCCACCTCCTGCAAGCTCTGCTTCTGCTCTTGCCTTTGGCTGCCCGGGAAGACCTGGGTGTGCAGGCCATAAAGATTTGAGGGCTGCTGTCTCCCTCTCGCTGGCCTTCACTGGTGTGCCTTGCCCTTGAGTACAAATCACATCCCATAAAGCTGCCATCCCCATTCACCTCCATTTGCGGCCTGTCAGGGACCTGGCCACAGAGCTCTGCCACCCCCTACCGCCCTGTCCATAGAAAAACTGTCTTTCATGAAACTTAGGAATGGTGTGGGCAGTGGGGTGGGGGGCAGACCACAACAGGAGGCGAGCAGGGTCACCTGAATGTACAGCTGCCTCCTCCAATCACTCATGTCACACCTGAGCTCCACCCCTACCACCCTGTCCATGGAAACACTGTCTTCCACGAAACTGGTCCCTGGTGCCAAAAAGGCTGGGGACTACAGTCATAAAGTATGTCTGTCTTCTGTAACATAATCTCCTCCAGAAAAAAATGTTCCCAGAAACAACAGCGACTCTCGGACCACACAGTCAGGACAACCTTCCTAGAACTCACCTAAATCCTCCTCAACTGGAGTCTCTCCTACCCTTTGCCTAATAAGGTCTAGGCCTGGGGTGTGGCCAGTCTCCCTCCAGTCTGCCTGGGCCTTCCTGACCACAGTCCCGCGTGAACATCCCTGGGCCTGTGTGTTCCATACGAGTGCCAGGCACTGGAGGGCAAACGTGCTGATGCATCAGACATGACAGGGTTCTCCAAAGCCATGAAAACAGTCATGAAACATATGTACATACACCATGAAACACAGATAACCACTATGCTCATTCTATACTACGTAAAAATTGTGAATTTCTCACTTAAATGAAAACACAGACAGACGCTGTGGGCCTGGAAGAGCTGGACAAGAGAGGTCTGTGTCCCAGTCACCTGGTGCTGCCAGTGACTCTGTAACTTCACCGGGCTGGGAAGGGCCCCAGGCAGCACCTCTAGGCCCTGATGGTGACGGTGTGGGGTGGTCCAGGGACACTAAATGAATGGGAGAGGGCGATGGAGCCCTGCCAAGCATCCAAGTCTTCTGGGTTTGCGGGGTGCTCCCACGCAGAGCTTCAATTTAAGGGAAAAAAAGCAGAGCCTAGGGAGCTCTATGGGCTGCGAGATCCTTTCCAAGAGGAGTGTGACCAGCTCCTGTAGACCTCTCCTGCAGCAAGGGGCCTGGAGACAGAGCTGGGCATGGGGGATGTGAGCAGGCCAGGGAGCATGGAAAGAGGGGGTGGGTCACAGCTGCACCCAGCTCCAGACATTCTCATCCCCCCCACTCCCAGGCATGGGAAGTGGTAGACGTCTACCCACTCATGAGAATTGTGCATCCACGGCATGCTTGCTGGGCAGTCCCTGTGAGCAAGGCACTGAGCAGGCTGTGTCTGGCTCAGAAGCCAGGTCTCTTGGCCCCTCTACCTCCTGTGTCTGCCTTGCAGAGAGCAGTCCTCGTGACTACCGCTGCAATGAGTGAGTGAGCGAGCGAATGAGTAAATGGGTGACTGGATAAAGGAACGGACAAATGGACAGATGGAGAATCCATGCTGCTCTGCTTGACTTCCTTCCTAAATGTGCTGTCAGCCCGGAGGGTGAACACACACTGGTGTGCCATGGACCATGACTTCAGACAACTCACAAGACTCTAGCTCTGTCTGGAAATGCATCACCTTCCCTAATGCAAAACAGTAAGCCTTTCCCACCATGACCAAAGGGTCTTAAGCATACTACAGGCTTCCTGGTAGCTCATCTGATTTCACTGTAAGTCCACCAAGCACCCACCACATGCAGCCTGGGCTGGGGACACAGAGGTGCACGTTGACTCCTGTCCTCAAGGGAAATAACAGGAGGGAGACCTCAAGCCCTTCAGGGGAATGTTCTAAAACCCCACATCGCTTTTGCCCTCGAAGTCCTCCAAGCTTCACAGGGTGCTGTGGCTGTGCTGGCCACAGTGCCCCCCCACGACCCCATGAGTCCTCCCGTGGGAACGCAGCGCACTCCTGCGCAGCGAGTGCCCTGAGTCTCACAGCCCCCTGAAACCCTTCCCTGACCCACAGGCACCCTCCAAGGAATGAGCCGAGGGGTTTAAAAGGCCTCCAAGGCCCGGGAGCTGCATCAAGGCACAGGAGACCAAGAAGGGAAGTGCTGCGGGGAGGTGGGGGGGACACCAGTGCTGTCCCAGGTGCAGCAGGATGTGTCCCTGAACCCCGAGCTGAAACACGTCCAAAGCCACCCAGCCCTGTCCTGCGACCTGTGGGCGCGGACCACTCCCAAGGACAGAGAGCCCCTGGGGCTCACTTACCACGCAGCCGGGTCGTACTCAGCCCAGACCCGGATGAACTCGTCTAGGTGGTGAGGCCCTAGGATGGAAGAGTCCCGCGTAAGGTACTCGAAATTGTCCATGATCACAGCCACAAAGAGGTTCAACATCTGTGGGGCAGGAAGGAGAAGAGGTGACGTAGAGAGACCCAGCCTGGCCTCCCGCCCCGCCCTAACTTTTGGGCTGTGTGTGTGTGAAGCCAGCAGGGCAGAGGTTGCTCCTTCAAGCTGTGCCTCCCAGACCTACTCTCCCCAGGGATCTTGCACCGGACTTCTAGGACCCCCTCGTGCCCCATTTAGTCCCCCGGAGACCCCCGCTCTCCACCTCTACTGTACAGCCCTAATTCAGGCCCCATAATCTCGTGTCCATGGCCTGTTGTGTCATCTGGGTTAGTCTTCCCCTGTCAGGCTCGCCTTCAGGGACAGCAGTGACTATGCAGTCAAGAGTGTGGGCTCTACAGACCAACAGCTTAGGTCCTTTTTTTAAAAAAAAATTAAATTGAAATTCACATAACACATAATTAAACATTTTTAAAAGTATAACTCAGTGGCATCTAGTGTATTCACAATATTGTGCAACCATCTCTCTGGTTTCAAAATTTTCTCATCACTCAAGAAGAACACCCCATACCCATTAAGTTATAATAACTCTCATCTTCCTCCCTTCCCCCGTCCCCTGGAAACCACCAATCTCCTTTCTGTTTCTGTAGATTTGTCTATTCTGGATATTTAATATAAAAGGAATCATACAATGTGTGACTTTTATGTCTGGCTTCTTGCACCTAACACGTTTTGAGGTTCATCCATACTGTAGTGTCTATCAGTATTTCACTTCTTTTTATGGCTGAATAATTGTATATACCACATTCATTCATTCATCCACTGGTAGACATGTGGATTGTTTCCACCTTTTGATTATTATGATTAATGTTGCTATAAACATTCATGTGTGTGGACAAATCTCTTCATTCTCTTGGGTATATACCTGGGAGTGGTCACATGGTAATTTTATGCTTAATTTTTAAAGGAACTGCCAAACTTTTCCCACAGCAGCTGCTATTAATACATTTTACATTCCTACCAACAATGGACCATAGTTCCTACTCCTCCACATCCTTGACAATAATTGTTATTTTCCATTTTTACAAAGTTATTATTATATCTATTATACTGGGTGTGAAGTGATATATCTCATTGTGGTTTTGATTTGCATTTCCTTAATTACCAGAGATGTTGAACATCTTTTCATGTGACTGTTCACCATTTATTAATATATATCTTCTTTAGAGAACTGTCTACTCTAATCATTCACCAATTTAAAAAATTGAGTTGTTTGTCTTTTTGTCGTTGAGTTATGGGAGCTCTTTATATATCCTGGATATTAACTCCTTATCAGATATGTGATTTATAAATATTTTCTCTCATTCTGTAGATTGTATTTCTACATATTTGATAATGTCCTTTGACATACAAAACTTTAAAATTTTGATGTAGTCCAATTTATCTATTTTTTCTTTTGTTGCTCATGATTTTGGGGTAAAACCTAAGAATCTACTGCAAATTTTGCAGTCTTGAAGATTTACCCCCTATGTATTCTTCTAATAGTTTTCACTCTTCTATTTAGCTCTTTGATTAATTTTGTATATGGAGCAAGGTAAGGGTCCAACCTCATTCTTTTGCATGTGGCTATCCAATTTCCTCCATATTATTTGTTGAAGAGACTATTCTTTCCCCACCGAATTATCACTGATAGAAAAATTATATTTTCCCACTGGCACCCTGGTCAAAAATCAGTTGACCATAGATGTTTGGGTTTATTTCTGGACATCCAATTCTATTCCATTGACCTATATGTCTAGCTGCCAGCACACACAGTTTTGATTACTGTAGCTTTGTAGTAATTTATAAAATAGGGAGATATGGTTCCTACTACTTCTTTCTTAAGATTGTTTTAGCTATTTGAGGGCTCCTTGCAATTCCAAATGAATTTGAGGATCTCCTTTTCCATTTCTGCCAAAAAGGCCACTGGGATTTTGACAGGAATTGCATTTAATCTAAACATTGCTTGAGGAAGTATCACCATCTTAACAAATATAAAAATCTTCCAATCCATGCACATGGGATGAGTTTCCATTTAATTAGGTCTTCTTTAATTGCTTTTCATCAGTGTCTTTCACCTCCTTATTTATTTATTCCTACCTATTTTATTTTTTTGGATGTCATTGGAAATAAAATTATTTTCTTAATTTCCTTTTCAGAGTGTTCACTGCTGGTGAATAGAAACACCACTGATTTTTGTGTGTTGATTTTGTGCCCTGCAACTTTGCTGGATTTGTTTATTAGTTCTAGTAGCATTTTTGTGTCTGTGTGTATTCTTTAGGATTATCAATATGTAAAATCATGTTCTCTGCAAATAGAGTTTTCTTCTTCCTTTCTAATTTGGATGCCTTTTATTTCTTTTTCTTGTCTGATTGCTCTGGCTAGAACATCCATCATAATGCTGGATACCTGTAGTGCACTCCTGTCTTGTTCTGGATCTTTGGGGGAAAGCTTTCAGTCTTTCACTGTTGAGTATAATGTTAGCTGTGAGTTTTTCATAAAAACCCTTTATCATCTTAAAGAAGTCCCTTTCTAGGACGGGCATGGTGGCTTGTGCCTGTAATCCTAGCACTCTGGGCGGCCGAGGCGGGCAGATTGCTCAAGGTCAGGAGTTTGAAATCAGCCTGAGCAAGAGCGAGACCCCGTCTCTACTGTAAGTAGAAAGAAATTAATTGGCCAACTAATATATATATAGAAAAAATTAGCCGGGCATGGTGGCGCATGCCTGTAGTCCTAGCTACTCGGGAGGCTGAGGCAGGAGGATTGCTTGAGCCCAGGAGTTTGAGGTTGCTGTGAGCTAGGCTGACGCCACGGCACTCACTCTAGCCTGAACAACAAAGCAAGACTCTGTCTCAAAAAAAAAAAAAAAAAGAAGTCCCTTTCTTCCTAGTTTGCTAAGTATTTTTTTATAATCATGAAAGGGTGTTGAATTCCCCTCATTCAACTAATATAGTGTATTACATTGATCAATTTTCTTATGTTGAACCACCCTTGCATTTCTGGGATAAATTCCATTTGGTCATGGTGTATAATCCTTTTAATGTGTCCTTGGAATTGGTTTGTTAGTATTTTGTTGAAGCTTTTTACATCAATATTCATAAGGGATATTAGTCTGAATTTCTTTTTATTGTGACATATTGGCCATAGTATTACGGTAATGAGGGCCTCAGAGAATGTGTTAGGAAGTGCTTCCTCCTATTCTATATTTTGGGAAGAGTCTGAGTATTAACTCTTTTTTTAAATATTATTATTATTTTTTAGTGTGGTAAAATATACAAAACAAAAATTTAGCATTTTAGTCATTTTTAAGTGTAGAAGTCACTGGCATTAAGTACATTCACATTGTTGTGCAACCATGACCACTCTCCACCATCAGAACTTTTTTCATCTTCCCAAACTGAAAATCTGTACCTATTAAACACTAATTCTCCACCTCCCTCCCCATCCCTGGCAACCATACTTCCTGTCTCTATGATTTTGACTACTTTAAGTTCCTCATATATGTGGAATCCTACAGTATTTTTCCTTTTGTGAGTGCCTTATTTCACTTAGCATAATGTCTTTAAGGTTCATCCACATTGTAGCATACATATGTCAGAATCCTTACCTTCTGAAGGCTGAATAAGTCCCTTGTATGTTTCATACCACATTTTGTTTACCCATCCATCTGTTGATAGAAACTGTGGTTACTTCCACTTCTTGGTTACTGTGAATAATGCTGCTATCAACACGGAGGTATGAATATCTGCTTGAATCCCTACTTTTAATTATTTGGGGTATGTACCCAGAGTGGCATTGCTGGATCATACTGTAATTCATTTTTACTTTTTGAGGAACTGCCATACTATTTTCCATGTGGCTGCACCATTTTACAATCCTACAACCAGTGCACAAGGTTTCAATTTCTCTACATCTTTGCAACACTTATTATTTTCTTTTTCTATCTTTTTGTTTTTTAAATAATAGCAATGCTACTGGTGTGAAGTGGTATCTCATTGTGGTTTAGATTTGCATTTTCCCTAATGATTAGTGATTTAAGTATCTTTTCATGTAATAATTGGCTGTTTCCTTGGAAAATTGTCTATTTAAGTCCTTGCCCATTTCTTTCTTTTAAATTTTATTTGCTTTTATTTATTTTAAATTTACACAATAATTGCACATATTTATGGGTACAGTATGACATTTTGATACATATATACAATGTGTAATGATCGAATCAGGGTAATTCAATATCCATCATCTCCGACATTTATCATTTCGATGTGTTGGGAACATTAAAAATCTGCCCTTCTAGCTGTTTAAAATATGCAATAAATTACTGTTAATTATAGTAACCTTACAGAATACTAGAACTTATTCCACTGCTCTAGTTGTACTTTTGTATCTGTTCACCAGCCTTTGGCCATCCCTTTCCCCCCAACCCTCACCTGCCTCAGTAACCAGTATTCTACACTCCACTTCCGTAAGAACACCGTTTTTAGCTTCCACATATGAGTAAGAATGGTGAGGTATTTATCTTTCTGTGTCTGGGTTAGTTACTTAAGTACTTAACATTAATGCCCTCCAAAAATCATTCATGTTCC